GGCTTGCTTGCCTGAGTCGAGTGAAGATTTACAAGTTTTGAGCGGCAAGACTTGTTGGGTGACAGGTGATACGATGCAGGCCGCTGACTTGGTTTTCGTATTTTAGAATAAGGCTAGGATCAGTTTGCACGAGGGGGCTACTTACTCCCATACTTGATTGTTCCCAGAACGTAGCCAGACATGAGCGATTTTTGCCGAAAGACTGTTGGGTATTTTTGGTTTTCCTTCAATTTGTCCTCGTAGGTTTGGTTTAATTTTTGTCAGAGATGGCGCGATGATAAGTAAGTGCTTTATAAAAGGGTAATAAACGGTCTATTCGTAAAACAAAATATAGAATAGACATAACAAATGAGTATTCCCGAACAAAATTTCAACTTAATCTTTTTTTGTATAATTTTTTTTTTTGCGATTCTTTTTCAGGATTTGGCATACTCTCTCCGAATGGTGATTTGGCCCAAGTGCTGATGCAGGTAGATGTTCCGATTGTTGGTCAAAGTGATTGTAAAAACGCTTGTGAATCTGAGAAATTCCACAACTCAATGGTCTGTGCAGGATCGGATACAAAAGTGGAGGCAAGCATTCATGTCAGGAAGATTCCGGTGGTCCACTGGTTTGTGAAGATAGAGGGAAGGTCTACTTGCAGGGTATGTTTTCATGGGGATACAGCTGTGCCTCTCCAAAGTATCCTGGGGTCTACGCCAGGGTCCGTAACTTGCGGAAATGGATTAATTAGTACATACGATAGAAAGCTATTATACAGAAAGTCTAAAGCACAATAAAAGGCATTCCAAAAGAATGAAACTGTGTGTTTTCGTATATTTTTTGAGTGCGCTAGTGACTTTTTTTTCGTAATTTGACAATCAAACATTATGGTGTTAAGACGTTGATGGTAAATGATAAGGTCTCATTTCCCGTTAAAAAACCGAGAATCATTTGATTCCACTCGGGAATCGAGAAAATGTTTCTAATACATGCTATGATCGAGATTGCAAAATTAAGAAGAAGAAATCGAGGATGTCCATTAGACAAATTATTAGAGAATAAAGGAATAGACGTAGAAACCTGGAGACGAAAGTTTCAAGACCTAAGCTTCCCTTGCGGATTTTAGTTCGCACCAGTTAATGTACCATTTTCTGTGGGGTTTAAAAAATTGACCAATTAATTAATTTCCAATTAAATTTTAAGCTTAGTCATCAATGCAAGCGCGATTTCTATTAAAGTTGCGAAAAATGGGTTTCAAACTACAGTCGAACCTGTATTGAACAGTCCCGTATTAAGCGGACAGTTGCCAAAATTCCTAATATTTTTCCCTTAATTACTGTATTTTCACCTCTATTATTCGGTACTCCTCGCCTGTTTGTTTTGTCTTCCCCCTGCATCGAACGGTCACTCGAAGCGCAACCGGCCCTATAAATAAAAGAATAATCTTTCATGCTTATCACCCAAAATTAAAGTTATTACTATTTATGAGCGAGTTTTTGTAAATTAGGAGGTAAATTGTTACAAAACGTGACGTTTTTTATCTTTTATTTCGTAGTATTCCTCTATCCTGAGGAACATAGGAGACACTTGCTTTTAACCTCGATGTAAGACAACTGAGAAGTCAAGACATCCTCTTAAATGCCTTTAAGAGATTTCACATTAAGGGCCTATGTGCATTAGCGAAAAAACGTTTATTTTTAGACAAATCGTCTGTCATCACCAACATTTTAAAAGTGCGAATGCTGCGACTTGAGTAATTTTGGCCGCAGTGCACAAATTTTCAAACGCACCGCTGACAAAATTTAATTGTCTCGGGTGAAAACTTAGCTAAATCGACTAAATAAACAAAACCGTCATAAACG